GCTGGAGAAGGAGGGACAGTCTCTTCCTGTACCAGTGAGATCCGATTTGATGGCACACACACACAAAATAATAAAACTTTAAAAAAAGAAAAGAAAAGAAAAATTCTGAATCCTTCTCCCCTGCTTTTTCTCCTTGTCTAGGATTCAAACAAGAACTTGAAGGGGAGGACCAAAAAAAAAAATCCACATACTAGGGTGGTAGGAGGCAAAGACTGACATGCTGATTACAATAAAAAGTCAAAGCACTAATTCATTGTTGTTGTTGAGTACCGTTGAGTCAGAACTGACCCATAGCTGACCTCCAGCAGGTTTTATAGAGTCAGTTAATCACATGGGAGAAAACTGTCCAGCCTCCTTCTTTGGAGCAACTGGTGGTTTCAAACCAAGTACCTTTGGGATTGCAGTGCAGCTTCTTACCATTAGGCAAATAGAGCTCCCTATTCCTTTACTGTCAAGTCTCTAAATGTTTTCATTTTAAAAACAATTCTAATTAATAAAGGCACTATAGTCAAGTCTCCATTACACTAACAGCCAAAGAATTCCTAGATAATGTAAATACATGAATTTTTCAACTAAAATATATTTTAAAAACTAAGCATACTGTTTTAGTCTCAAGACTCTTCCTTAATAACATGATAAATGCTGTTTTTCCCATCTCTTCTTTGGCAGACAGGCCTTTCTCCCACCAAGAAACACAAAGATCCTGAATGGAATTATGCATTTTTCGTTCAGATGCAGGTAATGCATATAAAATTCCTAGAAGAGAATATATTAATTTTCCAATTAGTAATGCAAATTTGTTAGTTCAGATTTAATAGTGTATAATTTTGCAAGTTACAGTATTTTGGTAAGCAAATAGTAATTTATATTTGCTCAATATTTAAATACATTATTCACAAAGTACAAATGATGTTAATAAAAAGTCACTTTTCAAATATTACACAAGAAAATTCACTAGAACAAAGGATTTTAGAACTAGACGATTCAGAAAGATCATACTGCTCAAATTCCTAATTTTAGAGAGGTGGAAACTAAGGCCATCAAAATCTAAGTCTACTGTCATAGGAACACTGTTAGCACCAGAGCAGGAGCAGGGGTCCTCTTTAAAGCTCCCTCACTGTGTTGCTCTCAAATTTTGGTTTATAGGTGAAAGGAGTAAAAACAACTAGTATAATTAGCACAAAACCACAGTGCTTTTATTACCAGTAAATATGAAGAACAAAATTAATAATGTCCTCATATTCATAATCAATAGCTATCTGAATTCCACTGACTATGCCTACAACAGTGCAAAATTCATTAATTAACTGGGAAGTTGGGAGTAATAACAATGCTGGCACTGATAATTTTACAAAACAGTTATTCAGACACTGTGTAAACAAGGTAATAGTCACAAAACAGTTGCGAGCTACTATTACATTGATAACCCATTGCTATCAAATGAGTTTTGAATCATAGTGCCCCTCCATCAGGTTTCTGAAACTGTAACTCTTCACAGCTAAAACCTGCCCATCATTCTCCCATAGAGAAGCAGCTGGTGGATTCAAACTGCTGATCTTTTGGCTAGCAGTCTACTGTGTTACACATTATGCCACTAGGGCTCCTTATCATATTAAGAGTCGTTTTTAAATAATGTATTTCAGTGCAAATTCTGAATAAAGCAACATACTAAACATAAATCCAAGTAATGCTGAGAATGAAAAGCTAGGTAAGAGAACATGTTACATGAAACTAATTATACTTATGCTATGTTTTGGGAATTTTCTTAAGAAATCATTACTTGAAATAACATTACTTTCATATCTCTATAGTACTTTAATACAAACTTTTATAATTAGATTTTCTCATTCAGACTTGTGTCCTTCCTAGATTAATAACAACATAACTCTACAGTTTAATTACAGCTTGAAGAGTACCATAATTTAAATCTTAACACAGTAAAACTGCTCCAGGAATTCCTCAGGTCATGTTCATAAAATATTTAAAGAAAAATAATGTCACAAATTTGCGGTAAAATTATCTGGCAATAATCATAAATTGAGAAACTTATACCCTTCTTTTTAAAAAGCTCATGATCTAGCAAACTAAATAAACCCACCAACAATAGCAGTTAGCTGGTCAACAATGCCTATCTTTATCATCAGAAACATTTACAAAGTTACACCTTAATATCAATACTGTCTCCACATGACAGCACTACATCTTTTTCAATGTATCAGTTAGATTTCTTCCTTCTAAAAATTCCATAGTGTAACAAAGGCACTTTACCATTTAGTATGGTGGCACACTCCAGCAAGGCGTCATACTTCTCACTCCCATTTATTAGAGATACACACATAACCATCACAGATGTAACTGCATTAATTATTTCTATGTTTTTCTTCTATAAATTTAAAAGAAAAAAAGTCAATGCACTAGGAATTAAAATTACGTTTAAAAGTTACTAAATTTTTAAAATTAGAGTCAAGATTTTTAGCTTATTCTAAAAAAGTGAATGTTGAATACATACACAGAACAGCTGTCCTAAAAGAATAATAACACTGAGTCCAGGATTAATAGTAGGAATAAAAAGTGAGTAAAACTCCAATAAACAGATTTCATCTAATTTCAAGCTTTCACTAGTGTCTCACCTTAATTTAAAATTAAATTACACAAATGTAGCAGGAATATATCTTTCCTATTCCTTCCCCTGCTATATTGTAACCATGTGCCAATAAAAACATCACCACCGCGACCACAAAAAAATCTCCAAAATTATTCCTTGGCTTTTAAATGTTTAAAAAAAAAAAGTCAATAATATACCCTAAATAATACTTTCTAATAAAGAGGAAAATTTTATTTTAAAGACGAGTATTACCATTTTTGAATCATGTTCTATTTCCATGTCATCTTCAGTTTTGATTTTTACTATCTGCCACTCATCCACTGGGCTTTCTAACAACACATCTGTTAATAAATTCTTGAGTCGTTGCCATAGTTCCTCTTTCTGTTTACTTGATAATTCATCTAATAATTCACTTAGATTGAAAGGGTCAGAGGCATCTTTCTGTAAAACAGAAACCAGGTCTTACATTTCAATACACATTCAATAGTAACTGTAAAGGATGGCATAAAATTATTACACATAAAGCTGCTAAACGCCAGGGTTGACTAGTAGAGAGTACCTTTTTAAGACCCTGAAATAAAGCATTTCAGTTCTAAGTTACAATCCAAAACTTTGTCATTATCTTAATCCATATTCTAAAGGTGTAAAGTATGGTGAAGAGTCATCAGAAGTAGATACCTCTACCATTTTTTCCTAAACTTTTGGAGTTGAAAATTTCACCCAATTAAAAAACTCTCTATAATCAAACAAAATGCACATCATTTCCAGGTGTATATAGTTACAATAATTAAAGCAACAATATTAAAATAGAACTATGAAGACAACTCCCAGTTCACATTTATGATCTCCACCTGGGGCCTCAAACGCCAGCCTTCACTGTTTTCCAAGACATCATTCCTTCTCATTAGTCAATAAGACTACTGCAATCTTTGCAATAGTCCTCAAAACCAATGAATCATGCACACCCATGTTTACCGCGGCTTTGTTCGCAACAGCAAAGAGCTGGAAACAACCTGAGTGCCCATCAACAAACGAGTGGAAAGAGAAGCTCTGGTATATTCACACAATGGAATGCTATGCAGCATTGAAAAACAAGGAACTCATGAAATATTATGCAAAATAGATGACCTTAGGGAACATTTGCTGAGTGAAATATCTCGGTCACAAAAGGACAAATACTACATAGGGCCCCTGTTGTAAAATGGGACTGACATGGGGGATTGAGGGAAGACAAAAAAAAAAAAAAGAGGGGGGGAACAATGTATATTGCATTGAAACAGATGAGGGAGAGAACTGTTTAAAAGAGACATATGAATGGGTATTCTAGTCATTAAAGAAGTCCAGTGTGAAGGTTGCATAGTGGAATAGACTTTGGGGGAGGCATTGCATAACAATGAAAGAGTTTTTCTTTTCAAGGAGAAAAGTTCAGCAATGAGTGACTGGAAACCCTCAGTCTTTGTACACTTTCATTAAAGTTAATAAATAAGTTAAAAAAAACAAAACTAATGAACCAACAACCACTTTGTCTCATTCATATACTCCACTGAAAAAGACAAGATTAGTACAGTTGATAATTATTAGATAAATAATAAAGGGAAATTTTTTACAGTAGAATGGCAAAAAATAAACATGGAAGGAATAATGGACTGGGAAATTATAATTTTATAATATAGTAACAGGCACTCTGGTGGCCTAGTGGCAGGAACCTGTGCTGCAATCCCTAAGGCACGCTATTCTAAGCCACCTGCCGCCCAATGTACAATCTCCTCCAGCAATTAACTGCCTCTGAAAACCTGCTGGAGGGTCAGCTATGGGTCTGTTTTCTGACCAGATGGTAAAAACAACAACAATAATAACTGATGTAGGAAAAAAAGCATTAAGGAATGCTAAATCTATTGAATAGAAGTTTGATAAGGAACAGGATATTATACATTCTCAGAGTATTTCCCCATAAATTAGTTACTGACCACAAAAAGGAACATTAAGAGTTTTATAGGCAATAACATGTTACATACTCTAATCGCGTGACTGAAATTATCATCACCAACAAATTGCCCTATGCTTCCTTCCTTGACTCCATTGATAAGGACATACATGACTTAAGTAATTCATGACAAAATGTATAAACTGAACTTAATCACAAAATCATCAAACACTGAAGGATATACCACACAATACTTGGCCTTCAAAACTGTCAATGCCATGACAAAAACAAAGAAGCTTTAAATTCTTCTAAAGGAAACAAGCAAGACAGACAAAATGCAATGTTTGACACAAGGTTGGATGCTGGGTTTAAAAAAATATATACTGGCCCTATAAAAACAAGCTTGGAAGCAGGAGTGGCATCCACTTCTATAATAGCTTGCCTCTAGAAACCCTATGAACCTGGAGAAAGGATGAAAGTTATACAGGTGTCCAGGTCTTTCGTTCATAGGGTGGCTATGAGTCACCTCCGATTTGATGGCACTTAACAACAACAACAGCAGCAGCAGCAGCAGCAGCACAAAGAGAGATCAGTTGGCCTAGTGGACAGAAGTCATGCTCCCAAGCCAAAGGTGGGTGACTCTAATCCACAGACCTCAGACCTGTCTTTACTTGTTTCTGGTGAAACATTCTTCTAGGTCATGTAACCCTGGTATGTCCACTTGCTGTACAGAGGTAACTCGTGGTTGCTGTGAAGCTGAACACTGTGACATTATGAGTGGTAGTTAATCTGATGACACCTAACAATATATCTGCAATTTACTCTCAACTGATTAAGAAATAAATACACTAAGGAAGACAGACACTCTTCAAGCCTGAAACTGAACTCACCCCTGTGGCTTGCTACACTTTTAACCAAGCAATGAGCCAGCATATACAGGTATTACCATGAAGGGATGACAATAACATTACAATAATACCAGAAAGGTACAATTTTGAACCCTCTTCTCCCCTTAGAACCAAAACTTTACACTTTCTTACAGTCTATCAATACAATTAAAGAATTTTACCTCTACAAATGTACTTACTGCACTTGCTCCATGGAGTCAATAGCTATGTCTTAGCCCTTACCATGCTTGACTTATCAGTCCTACAGAACACACTATGCTTATGGTACCACCCTTACCTAGATACCTCTATCTCTCTGAGTCTTCCAGAGACTTACAATCAAAACCCTTCTCAAAGCAGGCTGTGAGGTGCCTGTGAGTCTGCTGTGACTCCTAGTGATCCTAGGTAAACAGAACAGTGTGCCCAGCCCTGCACCCGTCAGCACAATCACTGCTGCCTAAGCCCACTGCTGCCTAAGCCCACTACTGCTCACTCGTGGCAGCGGGTAGCCTGACAATCCATCTCTTTGAGGGTGTCCCTCTTTTTCACTGACCGTCTACTTTACGAAGTATGATGTCTTTCTCCAGGGTTTGCTCTCTCCTCATATTCAAAGTATGTGAGATCTTAACATTCTTCACTACTGATAAACATTCTGGTTGTACTTTTTCCAAGATTATTTACTCTTCTTGCAGCTCAAGGTACACTTATTGTTCACCAACTTCATAATTCAAAGGTGGCAATTCTTCTTTGATTTTCCTTATTCATTATCCAGCTTTCAAATGTGTATGGCACACATGATAACATGGCTTGAGTCAGATGTTTATTAAAACTTTAAAGATAGATAAAGGAATCTTTTGCAGTAGGGATTTGCTCGACTCAAAACATCAATTTCTTGACCATAGCTTCCATGGGTGCTGACTGTGAATCCAAATAAAATTAAATCCTTGACAGCGTCACTATTTCCTCCATTTACCAACTAATATTTTTTTGGTTCAGTTGTGAGGATTTGTTTTCTTTATGCTTAAAGTATAATCTTGTTATTGTTGTGTACCTTTGAATCAGAACTGACCCACAGATGACCTCCGGTGGGATTTCAAATGCAGCTAATCACATGGGAGGAGACTGTTCATCCTTCTCCTACAGGGCTACTGGTGGCCTCAAACCATGTGCCTTTGGGATTGCAACATAGCTTTTTGCCACTAGGCCACCAGAGCTCTCCAAGGTATAATTCAGAGCAAGCTATATGACCATTTACTATTTCTCCAATCATAACTCCTATCTTTTCTCTTTTTTCTCACTTTTCATATATTGCCCTATCTCCTGTCACCAAAACAGTACCTGGTACTTAATACCAGGGAAGTTAAGAAATAATTACTAAAGTATTGACTTACCTTCAGGTCTATCTCCCCCTGTGCCTCTGTCATGATTCTGAAAATACTATGCAATATGCTTTCCAAGTATGATCCTCTTTCAGGGCCTCTGACTTTCTCAATCCTTTTCACTAAAATTCTCTCCACTAAAATCTCCATATGGCTCAAACCTATACTTTTTCTTTCCAGTAAGTCATCAAATATCACTCCTCGGAAATTTTCTATAACCACTCCTATTAAATAGCAGTAATTTTGCATCACAAAAATATTTTCATATCATTTTACTTTTATTTATATGTATGCTTCTCTTTCTCTACATAAAGTCTACTGGGGCACAAATTTTGCTTTGTATACTTGTCTCTAATCACAAGAACAGAGCCTACTATATAATAGAAGCTTCTTAGATATTTGTGAACGATTGAAATCTCTTCACTGCTATCTCCTGGTATGAGTGACACTGACTCTGACACATAATGTATGACCAAAAGTTGGTTTTTAGCCATTATGTTAGCCTCCTCTGTTCTCCAGCTACTTTAACTGTAGACACATCATCCTGCAAATCATGAGAGCGAGCAAGCACGAGCGCGGGAGCACGCGAGCGCTTCCCAGTTTCCCATACTGGACAGCAAGACTGGAGGGAGACAGGACCTTGGTGAGTGTGAGGCCCTTGTGGCAAAACTCTGGGGATGGTGGTGGAAAGACTGTGACGTTGTAGAGAAACTGTGGCAAAGTGTGACCTGAGGCTTCTTGCACTACACTGGTGACAGTTAAAAGGTTTTGCTGTTATTGCTGCATGCTTGAAGGAAAAGCTGACTTAAAACTGCTCTAAGGCAAACTTTTGGATGACTGAGAAAACGAGAGGCTTCTTGAATTTGCGTTGCTGAAATGAAATCAGGACTTTTACTAGTTAAGGAGTTGTGTTTCTCTGCTAATCTGGTTCAGGACTGCTAGACTAAACCAGGATTTGTACTGTGAGATACTATTTGCCTCTCATCCCCCAATTTATTTCCCTCATACACCTCACTCTTGGTACCACAACTGTGAGTAAACTCTGTGAGTCAACAATGAATATTGAGCACACCTATGTTTATCACGGCTTTGTTCTCAATAGCAAGGAGATGGAAACAACGTAAGTGCCAATCAACAAATGAATGGACAGAGAAGCTGTGGTATATTCACACAATGGAATACTATGCTGCATTGAAAAACAAGCAACTCATGTAATATTAATCAAAATGGGTGACCCTGGAGGAC